GTGTAATGTACAAACTACAGGGAGTGCAGAATTATTAGGCAAGTTGTATTTTTGAGGATTAATTTTATTATTGAACAACAACCATGTTCTCAATGAACCCAAAAAACTCATTAATATCAAAGCTGAATATTTTTGGAAGTAGTTTTTAGTTTGTTTTTAGTTTTAGCTATGTTAGGGGGATATCTGTGTGTGCAGGTGACTATTACTGTGCATAATTATTAGGCAACTTAACAAAAAACAAATATATACCCATTTCAATTATTTATTATTACCAGTGAAACCAATATAACATCTCAACATTCACAAATATACATTTCTGACATTCAAAAACAAAACAAAAACAAATCAGTGACCAATATAGCCACCTTTCTTTGCAAGGACACTCAAAAGCCTGCCATCCATGGATTCTGTCAGTGTTTTGATCTGTTCACCATCAACATTGCGTGCAGCAGCAACCACAGCCTCCCAGACACTGTTCAGAGAGGTGTACTGTTTTCCCTCCTTGTAAATCTCACATTTGATGATGGACCACAGGTTCTCAATGGGGTTCAGATCAGGTGAACAAGGAGGCCATGTCATTAGATTTTCTTCTTTTATACCCTTTCTTGCCAGCCACGCTGTGGAGTACTTGGACGCGTGTGATGGAGCATTGTCCTGCATGAAAATCATGTTTTTCTTGAAGGATGCAGACTTCTTCCTGTACCACTGCTTGAAGAAGGTGTCTTCCAGGAACTGGCAGTAGGACTGGGAGTTGAGCTTGACTCCATCCTCAACCCGAAAAGGCCCCACAAGCTCATCTTTGATGATACCAGCCCAAACCAGTACTCCACCTCCACCTTGCTGGCGTCTGAGTCGGACTGGAGCTCTCTGCCCTTTACCAATCCAGCCACGGGCCCATCCATCTGGCCCATCAAGACTCACTCTCATTTCATCAGTCCATAAAACCTTAGAAAAATCAGTCTTGAGATATTTCTTGGCCCAGTCTTGGCGTTTCAGCTTGTGTGTCTTGTTCAGTGGTGGTCGTCTTTCAGCCTTTCTTACCTTGGCCATGTCTCTGAGTATTGCACACCTTGTGCTTTTGGGCACTCCAGTGATGTTGCAGCTCTGAAATATGGCCAAACTGGTGGCAAGTGGCATCGTGGCAGCTGCACGCTTGACTTTTCTCAGTTCATGGGCAGTTATTTTGCGCCTTGGTTTTTCCACACGCTTCTTGCGACCCTGTTGACTATTTTGAATGAAACGCTTGATTGTTCGATGATCACGCTTCAGAAGCTTTGCAATTTTAAGAGTGCTGCATCCCTCTGCAAGATATCTCACTATTTTTGACTTTTCTGAGCCTGTCAAGTCCTTCTTTTGACCCATTTTGCCAAAGGAAAGGAAGTTGCCTAATAATTATGCACACCTGATATAGGGTGTTGATGTCATTAGACCACACCCCTTCTCATTACAGAGATGCACATCACCTAATATGCTTAATTGGTAGTAGGCTTTCGAGCCTATACAGCTTGGAGTAAGACAACATGCATAAAGAGGATGATGTGGTCAAAATACTCATTTGCCTAATAATTCTGCACTCCCTGTATATCATATTGACATTGGCATTAATTATATTTATATATATATATGTGGTGAAGTGATGGGCAATAAAACAGAGCAAAAAAGAGAGATATCTAATATTGAGGACAGGTTTTCTGCCACTTCCAGAAGACCCACTTCCACCAAGAATGGGACCTCTTCGCATGATGTATAATGAGAAATTTCTAAGGAATACTTAGAGAGTATTTTAAAGAAAATGCCAAGCACCATAAATGGTTATGGTGTCAGGAGTGTTCTGTTGCCTCCCGACCCACAACAGTGTAATTAGTCAAACCATTTGCTAATGGTTTGACAACGTAGCTGGGGCCACCAGGCATCAGTCCCTTCCTACATTGAGAGCCGGAGGCTCTTTCACAGAGCTTCTGTTGGCTTCACTGCGCTAAACAATGCAGTGTAAGGCCAGCTCATTGGAGTAGCACGGAAATGGTAGTTATAGTTAATCAACAAAGGAAGACAGACAAGGGTGTCTTATAAAAATGCTTTATACAGCAGAATAGTCATTTTAATGAAACTCTGCAGTGTACATTTTCCATAAGCTTTGCCTGTTAATATGATGCCACATCCCCTCTTCAAGATGGTCATTCATTGTCTCTTTCTATGTCTCTTTCTAAAATATGAGCTGACTGTCACAAATCCGAACACAAGATGCTAATTTTCTCTCATTCTCTTCAATCAAAACCACAAATTAACAACCAGCCATAGAGAAGGGTCAATAGTATTAAAAGAACAGTGAAGCAGATTTTGAACTGTTGGTTTATTCCAGGGACTTGCCCTAAAACATGTCAGATCCCATCAGATGTAATTAGGATGATTCCAGCTCCCAGACACAATTGCCTTTTTAAAATTTCTTGTCTAGTTAGAGACTGTTTAGCACTTTGACAAGTACCGCCACGGACTGCGTTGTAGCAGAGTCTATTGTTTACATCTAATCTGTGCACTAACAAGAACATCAATTCATAAAATAGTTGAAACATGTTATTGGTGAGAAGATAAATTAATAATATGTAAAGGGCTTTAAATCCCCATTCCGTTTTCATTTAGTGAGTGAATTGACTCATAATTTGCCTAATTTTCCATAGGTTTTAAACCCTAAACAGTGTTGACTGCAACAAAAATATCTGTCTGTCTGTCTATTCACCCTCCCATTTATCTATCTATCTATCTATCTATCTGTCTGTCTGTCTGTCTGTCTGTCTATCTATCTATCTAGCTGTCTGTCTGTCTGTCTGTCTGTCTGTCTATCTATCTATCTAGCTGTCTGTCTATCTATCTCTGTGTTTCTATCTATCTATCTGTCTGTCTATCTCTGTGTTTCTATCTATCTATCTGTCTATCTCTGTGTTTCTATCTAACTGTCTATCTTTGTGTTTCTATCTATCGATCTATCTATCTCTGTGTTTCTTTCTATCGATCTATCTATCTATCTGTCTATCTATCTATCTATCTATCTATCTGTCTATCTCTTGTTTCTATCTATCTATCTATCTATCTATCTCACAGAGACATCATAACACTGTGACTTTTAGAAAGCCCTTCTGGTTACCCCTCAGGCATTCCCCTTTCCCTAAGAGCAAATAGGACTGAAATACAAGTATATCGCTCCAGGTAGAAACTATTTTTGTTTCCTCTCTAGCGTCAGGTTGGCAGAAAGAGAGTGAATGTCTCATTTGGATCCGCACTGTTAGTACATTATGTCAGGCTGTGCACAGAGAGCCTCGGGTAGCTGCCAGGTTGGTGACAATCACAAAAGCAAGTCTTGAAAGCTTGAAATAACTGTACAGGCTTCAAATTAATTACCATATCTGGTACTATCGGAATAGAAGAATCTGTGAAAAGAAGCAATAAAGATTAACATTGCTAAAGAATTACATTTATTCACAATACAGAGAATTGCAGTAAATTGACAATTAAATGATTTTTTTTCACAAACATCCAAGATGAAATCTTTTCCTAATTCAGCTATTTGTACTCACTCAGCTATTTCAGTGTAATTTATTAAGTGGTCGGTTTACCACAAATCTTCTTTTTTTTTTTTGTCAATCTTTGTCAATAAGGTATACAGTACAGAATAAAGAGTACAGATTGTCAAACAAGGAACATTAAGCATATGCGTATTGTACATATATTGTCATTCATAACTCCAGCGTAATACAGCCTCTTTTTATTTTTTAAACAATACAAGATATGAAAGTTAAACTAGACAATTGTGTAACTCTAGGAGTGTATACTCTGAGCAGGGAACACGTCCAGATCATAAGAAAGAGTCATGTGAGCATATGGCAAGTTAAGCAGTGACATGAGATTGTCAGGCGTTAATATATATGTACCACTGGGCAACACAAAATATAGACCATGCTGCTTCATACTATAATGAGCTTAAACCAAAATCAAGTTACAGCTGTTAAGACAAACCTGAAGTTATGCATAAAGATTAGGGGCCCGGCTAGAATAAAGCTGGTAAGCATTAAATGGGGCTGATAATAGGGTAGCAATGGCTGCTCATGGGTAAGTTCTATAGTGAATATGGTGACCTAGGTTTGGAAATAATCCTCAGCATATTCCCAGTATGAGAGAATGCAGATGATATGTGCGAAGGGTCTGCAAGGCAGCAATTCCAGGAGTGCGGGACAGGGCATCCCGCCAGCCCCAGGCCTGGCAGTAAGCCAGCATCTTTGTGCCACGGACGTGGGTGCTCCTGGAGACCAAATCCCTTCCCATGTGGGAAGAACAGAAGGCCTTGATGGTGCGTCTTCTCTGGTAGTGGGTGGACTTCCGTTCACGTGGTTGATGCAGTGGGGTCTTGCCCCTGGTGGGCCTTGACCCAGGTGAGCTACTAACGGAGGATATCAGCATTTGATCAACGTAAGTGCCTGACTAGGGCCCAATCACCGCCTGGCTCCTGTTCTCACAGTCCCCTTCTGAGGTTGAGGAGGTAAAGTTGCTTGCCGTTGTGCTAAAGAGGCCCAAAAATGTCAATGATTGCATCGAGCCGCTTCAGGGATCTTGCCATCAGGTCAGGAGTAGCAAGCTCTGCCCACTCTTGTTGGAGGCTGCGTGAGGGTCTCAGCCGCAATCTTTTGGAATTGAGCTGCGCCGGGATAATTGCAGGTACAGCTTCATGAATCAAGGCAGTCTTGCTCTGTACGCTAGTGGGACCGGGATAACCCCTGCTGGCCCAGAGGTGGGGGGGGGGACGGGACTGCAAAGTAAGCCTGGAGGAACGCCGCATTGTACAGGGTGGGAGAGTGGCCACCTCACGCACCTGTTAGATCCACAAGGCCTTGCTGGGACTGCCTTTAATGAATCAGAATTGTAACGTTCACTAGGGAACCCTAACACGCAGGCAGGACAGAGTAGAGAGAATTGCAATACCGATCCTTAGAATGGTCGGGTTATGCAAAAAGGGATAGTCAAAACATGAGCCGAGGTCAAGGGAAACAGAGAGACGGAATAACGGGAGACAAAGCCAAATATCAGTAACCAGGAAATCCAAATAACAAGTGCGACGCTCAATGGTAAACCAAAGACCACAACAGGGCACTGAGGTAAGGGAGAGGTTATCTTATATACACACAGAGTGTGTCTGATTGGCTTATCTCCAATTAGTGTTAAAGGACCACTCTAGGCACCCAGACCACTTCAGCTCAATGAAGTGGTCTGGGTGCCAGGTCCAGCTAGGGTTAACCCTGCCTGCTGTAAACATAGCAGTTTCTGAGAAACTGCTATGTTTATAAATGGGTTAATCCAGCCTCTAGTGGCTGTCTCATTGACAGCCGCTAGAGGCGCTTCCACGCTTCTCACTGTGATTTTCACAATGAGAAGACGCCAGCGTCCATAGGAAAGCATTGAGAATGCTTTCCTATAGACTGACAAGAATGCCAACAATTGACGTGATCCAGACCAAGCTGCTGATTGTGTCTTTTGGTCTGGCTGGTGAGTGGTATTTAAGTAAAGCAGAGAGATTAAGCTGGGAGCTCACAACAAGAACGTACAGCCACCATCAAGCTCAGGCCCCTCCCCCCCCCACTTTTTTTTTTACAAATAAACTGCAACAATGCCATCAATTTGCTCACATCTGCTTTTGTAAAAAACATGCAGCTTGATTAATCCAAAATGATGTACTGCAAACATGAATAGATGGATTCTAAGTCTATTACTATTTCATCATTCTTTGAAAATGTCTTATTCGCTGAACACAGAGCCGTGGTTAGTCAATGACTAACATGAACAATTTGGACCAATAAATAGCCTAAATTTTGCAAATTTGCTCACAAAGCATTAAGGACGATGAAAAACATTATATTATGAAGAAAAAAAAAAAAAAAACACATTTGTTTTATTTAGAAAAAAGGTGTCTCAGATGGGATATGATAGCATTATACAAATGTATACAGGATCAGTACACCCCGCTGTGTGCTAACCTGTTCGTCAGCAGGTATGTACAACAGAAAAGATGTTACCCATTGAGACTGGAAAAAAGGCGTTTTCATTTACAGCAATGGAAGGAGTTCTTACTGTAAGAACAATAAAGATGTAGAATTCTCAGCATCCATCTACCCAAGCACCGTCCCGATTGTAAATGAAGGCGACAAATAACCCACTGGATCACAAACACATACCACAAAAGACATGCTCAGAACTGAAAACGTGTAAGCGGAGACCAGTCTTTGTGAACCAAAAACTAAACTACACTTGATGGCCAAACTTCTAAAAATCTCCAACCTAACCAGACACAAATCCACCCCCCAGAACCCCAAATACGAACCCAAACCCCTCTACTCACCTGGTCCATTTTAGATTTCCGAATATGAAAGTCCACAAAGCAGTCAGACCATCAAATTTCTGACAACAATAAAGGTAAAACTGATCGGAGATTGGGGGCAACCAGTTACCCCACCCGAAAAGCCCCGAAGAAACAAAAAACAAAAGTGACAGAAAAAATGGCTTTCAAATGCGGAACTACACACTTCAGGCAACGCCACTTGTAGTTGCAAGAGCAACTCCAGCAAAAACGGACCTGGACGCTTCCTACTCTGCCACCCCTTAATTACAGTTTGTGACAAACGCTCTTTTCCTCGGACGTTTGCCACAAACTCCTGGAGGAGTGTGGAAGCTGGCCTCCTGCCCACCGACTATGGTCCAGCTCTGAGACCCCATTCAGGAGTTACCCTGCCCAGCCACCATTAACAGCTTTCCCTGGGTGCCCCCGGTTTCAAATGAAACCAAACGCTAGCTCCCTGGTGGACGTTTGCATGAACCAAACCCATTAATGGTCCTCAGCGGTACTTAGCTGCGACCGATATGGAACTAATTTCAGTCTGAGGACTTTGTGGGTCCCAGGTCACCTCAGCAGTACTTAGCCGCGAGTGTTATGGAACTTTTTATCTGCATGAGGTGATCATACGGTTCCCGGACAACTTGGTCCGGGGTTTTGAACCACTTTGCAACCCACCAGGAAAGCACATTTTGTAGGGAAGGTACCTGAGACTAAGGGGAACAAACGCTACCTGAGAGCCAGGCAGAGCACTCCATATTGCAGACGCAGGAGCTCCCGAACGTTGACTGGCAAAAGCAATAAATGCCCTTTAACTATTTTGGGCATAGCCCACGTGTGCGGACGGTCAGAACTTTAAGATGATGGTGTTTCCCCTACACTGCATGGATCTGAGCGCTATTTGGAGAACTTGGGTGTTTAGACCAGGACTATTCTGGGATGTATGTTATGTGGGATTACTGTATATTTTTAGGATGTTTTGGGATATTTTTATGTTTTATGTTTTTGCGTTTTGCCTCTCTGTTCCTGGGAGATAATTAGCTTACTTGTATTTAACTCAATTATCTCCCAGGCACAGAGATCTTTGGGAGGGGCTTGTATTGTATTGCGAGGAGACCCCCTGCTGAGGGTTGTGTATATAAGCAGCCAACTTGGCCATAATAAAGCAGTTCCTTTTCACCCTTTACTAATGTTTGGGTGGATCAACTATACTCTCTGCAGGAGAACTTTTTTTGCACATGTCACCACTGTGCGTACCAAAGAACAAAAAACAAGGTTGTGAGTAACTGAAGCATACTCCTGCAGGCCTGGGATTCGCCACTCAAGACTCCCTTGCCTACTCCACCGTTCCTCCCGGCACCTCCGCTTGCTTGAATGCCATTCCACTGACCTGGACTCAAGGAAAGCCTCATAGGAGGCCAGGACCACCTGGGCCCCCTACCGCCATTATCAAAAGGGCCTTCAGGATCCTGCCTCCCTGCTGCACCAGTATTCCTATGCAGGCCAGCCATCATCTCTTCAAGAGATCCCAATCCATTGGAGTCCAGTTGGGGCCTGCAGCATCTCCACCAATGCATCCTTGGAGACTGTAGCTATACTTTTGTGGAAGGCAGAGCTAGATCACTCGCTAGGAACACTCAGAATTAGACCCTATGCAGTTAATCAATTTTTTATTTTTTTTAATTTTATTATAAGGTATCAGAAGAGAGAATGACAAAAACAAATTGTGATTCTCAAGCTCCTTCTTCACATGGTGAGTACCCTCCCCTCCTTTTTTATCCTATCCTATATTTGCAACATTTGCATCCGTCTCTATCCCACCCCTTACTATGGACAGCAATCATGCTTTCTAATAGTAATGCTGACTTTGGAATGACATTTTGGGAATCCTCCCGAGAACAAGGCTGTTTCCCAAAACATCAGAGGGCTTCACTATAAAAGTAATGACTACTCAAGTTTAATTATTTATATTTTCTAATGTGTGGCATTTCATAAAACCTCTTAATAAAAGCATATTCACACTTATCACAAACCATTGTATGCCTTTAAATAAATACACTTTAGTAATCGGCCTCGAGATTTGTGTTTATGTCTGTTTTGTGTGTGACTAGCACATTGCTTGTTTAGCAAAACTAAATCAATGTTGATATTTGCATTCTTTGCGGACAGCCGATGAGGATTTTCTCTTCAAAGGCTGGCAGTTCCAATTCCCTTCACCCCTTTTATTGAGCAAATATGATTTGACTTCTGGCCGTACTTAATACCTCCTTGTTCTCTCCGTCTTTAGGTTTCAAGGTGATTCCCTTAGTAATAAACACTGTACCATCTGAACAAAGACTCTAAATCCCTTTCATCTTGTTCACGGTGGATGTATATCTGAAGTTGTTTCTCGCCCTTGTGTTTGTGCAAGTTTGAAATAAAATAAATACAACAAAATACTTTTCCCTGACTATTGCTTAACAATTTCTACTTTTTGAATGTTGTATATCTTGAATGGTAAATGTTTTGTGTTAATGTACAGTTAATGACCCAATCACACAGAACAACTAATTGTCTTAAGATATTCAGTTATCAATATGATTCAATCAATTGGAAAATAGTGAACTCATGTATCGTTTATGATCCCAAATCCAAATAGATTGCAGATTTCTGTAAATGGCTGTTAATAGATACATACTGAACAGGTTATGCTTAAAGTCATTAGATCCCCTTAGAAAACTGGAATCAAGGGGACAACGACTACAAACCCCTTCACCAATTTGCTATGACATAAGTGAAACATGAGTTACAAATGTTTGTATGAGTTGTCGTTGGGGTATTTAGGCATATAACAATGCATGGCTTATTTATCCCACATTTAGTGTTTCTACTTGCACGTTTGTATCTATTTCTGGTTTCTTATTAAATGGACAAAGTTAATAAGCAAAAACACGTATCACTGTAAATTTATATAAGCCTGGTTATCTCTAGTACAAAGGTTACTATTTTGTAGTTATTATTTTTTTCTTTATATTTTTAGTCCGAATGAACCTGGTATCTTTTTTTCAAATTACAATTTAATTTTTTTGAGGTGTTAAAATTTTTTTTTTATGCATGAATAAATAATAAATATTAACCTTTTATTAAAAAAAACATCCTGGGTGCACACCCTTATAAAATGTGCTGTACACGCCTATAATACGAGCATACAGATTTCTAAATGTTTGTGCATTCTTAGAGGTTGTTTGTTATCTGTTGGAACGTTTAGCTCTGTGTTCATTTCATGGAGAAGATTTGCTGATTGGATATATGTTCGATTTGACAGTATTCTTCACCTAAGACTTCCCCAACACTACTTATCTCTTACCGGTCTCTCTAAATTCAACAAGTCTGACAATACTCCCCTCCAATTATATTTGCTCCCAAACCTTTGTTACTGTCACCTGGTTTATACCTAACCCCAGACACAAAACATCCTATTCAGTTTCAAACTGACTCAGGACACAAGGCCCAGCTAGGTACAGACTATACACCTGGTAATCTCTCATCACCACTGGACACCATTCTCTTCATCACAACATTATATTTATTGAATAAAGGTTTCTAGAAACTTCTACCTCCTTTTCTATTTTAATTGTAATACACTGCTAACATTGGTACAACCGTGCATGCATTTATATTATTCTTAACAATTGTATTGTCTCTTGCAATCTATTGTCTCAGTGCACATTATCTCTCTAGATTGTAAACTCACGAGATGTTTTGGATAGCACTTTGTAAAAAGGAACTGATTGCACTGGATTAAAGTGGATCCATAGGATTCTCTAAAACAAAATAACGCACTTTATATTAAGTAGTTCA